AGCGTAGAGTAGCGTCGAAGACGAGGGTAGCCAGAGTTGAAGTGTTGTAGCCGAGTAGGACCGTTAGCTTTCAGTAGCGTCGAGGTCGAGTGTAGCCAGTGAAGGGGTCCTCTTCTTTGCGGCGCCAGCTTGCAAAGAAAAGTTAGTTAGATCACCCCCGCAAGTGCACAGTGCAGATATTGACCTGGGGAGTGCTGCACGCGGCACTACCGCGCCAGGGCCTACTGGCCTAACGCCGCAAGTGTATCGGGCAGATATTGGCCTGGCACTACCGGGCCAGGCCCTACCGGCCCGGCGACCGTCTCCAAAACGATCAACACGCAATCTGGACCATGCGCTACAACGCCAACAACAGTTCAGATTGGGAGTTGATGACGTCGAAAACGATCAGCAGCCAATCTGGACCGTCACGCCCCAAGGAAACCCAGGGCCCAGATCAGCTACTGGTCACAGGAGGCCAAATAGCGATTGTTATAATGTAGTGATTGTGATAAAACACCAGCCATTTAACATGGTTTACAACTGCAAGCATGCACTTATTTCGGATGGACAGGGGAACGAAAAAGTTGCACCATCCATTTAGCACGGTTTACTCTGCGAGCATGCATCAGGGATGTATCAAGCATGAACTGAATTGCAAAAATTATAATCTTATCCGTATCATACTATCTTTCCAGTTTCAACAGATGTCCCAAAGGACAAAAGGATTTCATGCTTTTCTGTGCCTAAGGTTCAGCTGCAGTCCCACAGTCCCACAGCCCCGTGTTCCATGTACCCTAACCCAAGCGGTAGGCCCTCAGCTCGAATTGCCGCTGCAGGGTCTGGTCTGTCTGTAGAAGTTTCCGGTAGGTCGTAGGAGTCCAGTCTCCGACAAAAGTCCAAGTCCCAAAAATAGAAGCCGAAAAACGAGCCTACGCAAGGCGTACTCTGTTTTTCAATCTTAAAGTCAATACTCAGAGGGTATAAGACAAGAGGCCGTACAGGTGAAACCTTTTCTAGCATAGAGAAAACTTCACTCAATTCCCTGTGGGACAAGGGGCAGTCCAGAGAAATAAGTTCATTGAATTTATCCGGTAACATCTGAAAGTGACAAGCAAACACGACCAACAGGGAATGGTACCAGTCCGAAAAGTCCGAGACTGTGAACTGAAGCAGGTACAAAAATGCAGCTACAGTGAAAGCACACACTTTTTCATTCAAATTGTTGCAGAAGCACTGCTGTTTCCTTGCGGGACCAACATCTTATTTTGAATTGGCTGGAGAACGTACGGTAGTTAATGGTGCAAGCGCCATAGTTAGGGCTTAGGTGTACAACAGGGAGATAGAGAGGGAGAGAGGAGAGAGACAGAAGACATTGACAGAGGGAAGCGGTCCATGTATGTTTGTGTGTGTGTGTGAGTGAGCGAGTGAGTGAGTGTGTGTGTGTGTGTGTGTGTGTGTGTGTGTGTGTGTGTGTGTGTG